TTTTCTTGAGCATTATCAGTCTTGGTTGAGTTTACATGACTAGCATTGGACTCATTCCCACTCCCCCCAAAGCCACTCAGAAGGTCAAAGTTGCTCGGGTCTTTCTTCATGCCCGATGTGTCAGCAATGTCCAAGAGGTTCATGTTTTTGGCAGCCTGACTGACATCTGCCTCTGGAGCTCCACCCCAGTCCAAGAGGTTGGCTTCTTTGGAGGAGGATTTCGCCTCAGGTACTTCAGGGACATTTTTAGGGGGCTGGGGGGTGACAGCTTCCTCCTCTTCATCTGATATGAGCATCTCCTCACCCTCAAGGGCATATATAAAATGAAATTAATAAATGATTATAATAATAATATAAAATATATATATATATATATATTATATATTATTATATATATATACATCTAACTATATAACTAAAATAATAAACTACAAAACAAACAAACTAAACAAACTAACAATAATTTAACTTCTAACTCTAACTACTAACTATCTAAACTATTTAATCTATCTATCTAATTAACTATCTAATTAACTATTCTAATTAAACTATCTAATTAACTATCTAATATTAACTAATAACTAATTAACTATCTAATTAACTCATGCTACCAAAAACAAACTCCTTGGTGGAGGCAACGTAATAATGCCATCATTCAAAAAACACCTGGATCCGGATTGCAAACTGGATTACCACCAAAATTCAATGGAATCTAAGGTATGCTAAGGCACACCTTTGGTATAATTTTCATAAGAATCTGATAATAACCTTTTTAGTTATACTGCTAACAAGAAACAAAAACTGGTCGCCACCAAAATTTAATGGCATCTAAGTTTGGCTAACCCACTAACGACAGGTATCCCACATATGAGACACCCGAAAAAATAAACATTGCCAGGCGTCCCGCCAATGTGACGCTGTAATCGGGGCTCACGCTCTGACACAGCAGTGGGCCGCAGCCAGTGGGCGGGCAGAGTCTGGGGCAGCCCCACCTGCTGATTTTGTAGCTGCCCGGAATCTTTTATTTTCAGATTCAAAATATACCGGCGTTAATGGGTTAAGACACACCTCTGGTGTGTCTTAAATCTATTCATAACTTTTTGAGTTATCCTGCTAACCAATGAACAAATAAACAAACTAAATAACTAAACATGACCAAATACAAACTCCATGGCAGAGGTGACAATAGAAACTAGAAGCATTGAAAGCACATACCTCCACCATGGCAGATAATAAAGTAGGGAGAACTAAAGCAATTTATTTTTAAAATCCTGAATCCATATCGTGATCTAGATCATAAACAAAAATTAATGCCATCTAAGTTAGGCTATGGTGAAAATTTCATAAAAATCTATTCAAAACTTTTTGAGTTTTTCTGTTAACCAACAAACCAAACAACAAACAAATAAACAAATCAATGCTACCAAAAAAATAACCTCTTTGGCAGAGGTAAATAGGTCTAAAAATCTGTGGTTTCAATAGTTACCATTCTTACTCCTTTTTTATTAATGGTCTATCACACCCCTTCCATATTATCAAAATAACATGTTTATGAACATTCCCAATTCCTAATAATCTTTAACCCTTCTCTTACCTGAGTGCCTCCTTGAGCCTTATCCCAATTGAGTGATGCCATGAAGTCAGACTTGTTAGCCTCCGAAGAGATCATCCCTGGCTTCGGCAAAGAGTCCCGTCTATGCGTTGCTGGGGAACCATGTGCACTTGCTGCTAAATCAAGAAAGTATGAATACTTCAGTCGAAAATGGTGTTGTCAGAAATGAAAACACCAGGAAAATTAAAATATTTTGCCCTATGTAAAAGATTATAAAATAGGATAATAAAAAGACTCAAAGATAAACACATAAGCATACTAAACAAAGACTCTCCTGTTAATAATGAGGTGCATATTATTCAATGTGATCAGTCACATGCCATGCATCAAATTTAACATCTTAAAGTTTTCTTCTTTCCAATCAAACATTTTTAGAAATAAAATAAAAAATTAAACCAAAAATACTAACCAAATTTATCCCTCGTCTCTTCCATCTCAATAGCAGTGGAATAAGCTACATTTGGCTTAAAGGAGGTAGCAGGTCGTGCCACCCAGGGTGGTGGCTGAGGTGGTGCGCGGTCTACATCCGATACAAAAATGTTTACAGTCACAGTAAACCGCTCGGGGTATCGGTCAGGTTCACAGACATCATCCAGCTCACGCCTTTAGTGGAGATGACAAAGATGAAACAGACTCTAAAATACATGGATTTATTTTCCTGACAACACCATGATAGGAGATTTAAAGAAATTTATTAAGAAACAAGCTAAGAAAGCTAAAGGCATGGTGCTAAAACACAATGCATATCAATTCAATGAAAATAAATAAATAGATTAAATAAAATGGTATTAGATTAAATACATACTGAGCTTATGAAATCAATCAGGACCTTGTTTAAATCACTGGTTTAATGTAATGTAGTCCATTCTCTGCTCCATGCCATGAAATGAGAAATATAACTGCAAGCCCTTGCTATACAATATATTTTACAAAATCTTCTAATAAAAGTAAAAAACAAAAAATTAACATTCATTGTTTATAGTATCATTTACTTTAGAAAAGAAATATTAATGTTTTGAGATTAATATGGAAGAAGCATGATAGATTTTTAAAAATAAGAATAAAATGAGCATTTCTTATTCATAAAGAAAGCCCTCTAAGTAAATATGATCCTAAAAACAATATTACAAAAGAAGCAAAACTCAAACACTCAGCCTGCATTCTTTTAAAATAGTTGAAATAAAATAACAGAGAAAACCAAGTGGCACAGCTCAAATTTTGAGAAAAAGAAAAAGAAAAAAAAGGAAAAAGAAAAATTAATCTTTCGTCAACTCACAGACTGTATCTAATGGAAGTATCTTCCTCAGGAATGAAACCAGTATGGAACTGCAGCTGGGCCACCTTTACGCCCATCACCTTCCCCATCATTCTTCGGGCATGGTATACATAGATACACACGTCCCCAACTAGATGGATGTTGATTGGAATAATAATCTGTGACAAGAGCAGTTTGTCTGAGTAGGTAATTAAGGGAGATGCCAATTGGAATAATAATAGGAAGGAGGGAGAGAGGGGGAGAGAGGGAGAGAGGGAGAGAGAGGGAGAGAGAGGGAGAGAGAGGAGAGAGGGAGAGAGAGGGAGAGAGAGGGAGAGAGAGGGAGAGAGGGGAGAGAGGGAGAGAGGGGAGAGAAGGGAGAAAGGGAGAGAGAGGGAGAGAGAGGGAGAGAGAGAGAGAGAGAGAGGAGAGAGAGAGAGAGAGAGAGAGAGAGAGAGAGAGAGAGAGAGAGAGAGAGAGAGAGAGAGAGGAGAGTGGGATGGGGGGGGGATGGATGGGGAAGGGATGGGGATGGGGATGGGGATGGGGGGATGGGGATGGGGATGGGGATGGGGATGGGGATGGGGATGGGGATGGGATGGGGATGGGGATGGGATGGGGATGGGAATGGGAAGGGAAGGGAAGAGGAGAGGAGAAGAGGAAGGAAGAGAGGAAGAAGAAGAGAAGGAGTACAATAGAAAGGAGAACAAGAGGAAGGAGAACAAGGGGAAGGAGAAGAGCAGGAAGGAGAAAGACAAGGAAGAGAGCAAGAGAAGGAGAAGACGAGGAAGGAGAAGACAAGGAAGGAGAAGAGGAAGAAGAAGAAGAGGAAGGAGAAGAGAGCAAGAAGAAGAGAAGAGGAAGGAGAACAAGAGAAGGAGAAGAAGAGGAAGGAGAACAGAGGAGAAGAGAAGAAGAGGAAGGAAAGAGAGGAAGGAGAAGGAAGAGGAAGAGGAGAAGAAGAGAAGGACAAGAAAGAGGAAGGAGAAGAAAGGGGAAGGCGAAGAAGGGGAGGGAGAAGAAAGAGGAAGGAGAGAAGAGGAAGGAGAAGAAGAGGAAGGAGAAGGAAGAGAGAGGAGAGAAGAGGAAGGGGAAGAAGAGGAGAGGGAGAAGAGGAAGGGGAAGAGAGAGGAAGGGAAGAAGAGGAAGGGAAGGAGAAGAGGAGGAGAGAGAGGAAGGGGGAGGGGAAGGCCAAAGGAAAAAGACTGACAGACAGACAGAAACAGACAGAGACTCACAAGCACTTATTTGAAATGTCAGCACAAGGGATGGTAGTGACACTATACCTCTACTGAATTGATATTTCATAGGCAACATTGATCATCTTATCAGTTGTCAATTATTTCACAAGATAAGAGATAACTTAAGTCATGAAACACATCCAAGACTTTCCGCTGACCCCAAGAAAATCCCTAATTCTATAAATTTGAACTTTACTTCCATGCTTTTTTCATAATTCCTTAAATCATAGAACACTTTCAAACTCCTAGTCACAAGAATTTCTCCCAGCCAATCTGTGTTTTCTTATCCAAATTATGTAAAAGAGCAATTTTCTTTTCCCTTTCCTGTTTTGATAAGCATGCTTTTGGGGAATTTTACATATATGTAAGATATCTCTAAGTTTCAATAATCTATCTGTTTTCAACAATTACCTTTTATTACTGATTCAAAACTGAAAACAAAACCTCAAAAGAACATCTCAAGGTACTCTTCCTCTTGCAATAACCAACTCCTTCTCACCTTATTATCTTGAGGCATGTACAACTTCATATTGTCATACTCTTGAAGTGTTGAGAGCATCCTGTGTTCACCTTGCCATACTTCTACATATGGCCTCACTCCATCTCTATATTAGAAATAAAGAATAGCAATACATACAAATGCAACAATTTTAAAGAAACTGCTAATAAAACTTTTTCTGTACATTTTCTACAGCAAACAATGTATATTCACAAACACTCAGTAAAAACACTAATTGATTTGTCTTATAATATACAAAAATAACTTTTACAACTTTGGCCAACCAAATAATCTGTAACCCTGCATATACAAAAGTTTCGAGAATTCACACATTAGTATTTCCAATGGAACCTGTGACATTACATTTTATTTTTGGACAATGACAAACATCCTTTTTATGCCAGTCAACCAGTGATAAATACGACGTTCATATTGGTCAATCTAATTTGAAGTGAACCTCAAATAAAATGTGAACTCAAAGGAGGGAAGAAGATAGCATTCTGTACCATGATTAGAAAGAGGATCACATCATGCAAAATATCCTAAAAACACTATTCTTCTGAAATCTGCCAACTGGAAACATACTGATGCTCTGTTATGTCTCATCTCCTTAGCAGATTGATGCTTGGGTAACAGTGTTAGATGAACATCCATGAAAAAACCCTTTATGTATATATTTGTTCATGCTTCCCCCCATGGTTTGCCTCATTCTTTCATAATTGAGGTAAAATCTGATAAGCACGACTCTGCAGAAGAGTACAAGGTAACATTTTGTACTAGGCATGATTGTCAAGGCACAGGATACATTTACTTTGTGTTCTAATAAAGATAAATGCCAAGTTTGATTTCTTTTCTTGTGTGAAGCTTCAGATCTGGTCTGTCATTCAGTTTCACATAGTTTTACATTTGTTTTGTTCCATCCAGTCCATCCTTTGAAACTACCTGGTTAAGGAAAAAAAAAAAAAAAGTTTAATCCCTTGAATCCAGTTGCTTCACTGCAACCACATGGACCAAAATACAGGCATTGGGCTTACGTAAGCAGTTACTCCCCCAGGTGTGTAATGTTTACCCTGGGCGTGTGCGAACACTTGTGCGCAGTGGCATTTTGTTGAGCATGAAAATGGCGTCCTCCCTATAGACAGCGCTCTTCCAGTCATGACTTGTGGACATTACATTCCACACTTGTATATTGATATGATTAATGCAATAGCCCCTTTCCATGGTGTGATGATCATGTCACTTGGACACATATAGCCAGTGACCAGTGAATATGAAGTATAAATGTACAGATCCAATACACATTTGCCTACTATTTTGTTTCAAGAATTGACTCCACTAATAGCAAAAGGCCACTTAGTGGAGATATCAAAAGAAAGGAGATACAAAAGGGAAAAAAAATAAACACAAAAAGAAAAAATAAAGATCTGGAAATTCATTGTTCCTTGTGTTGTCCTTGAGAAGCAGAGGAATGTTTTCAGCTTTAGAAATATCTTTAATCTTTATCTATTTTTTACTGTGCTTTTGTAATTGTACCTTCTAGGCACTATTGCCAGGTGCTACATAAATGGTAGGCTCTAGTTATAAGAGTTTTTACACTGTTGATTTTGTATATGTATGGAAAAAATCTGAGAAAGTGTAGGCCGAGGCCAGTGAGAGTAGGTTTGTGGTAAATGCTATTATGGAAGATAACATTGTTGTTAGTGACCATAGTATCTAAAAATGGCAATTGGTTGTCCTTTTGCAAATCACAGGTGAATTTGATGCTGGGGTATTTGGAATTTAGGTAATCTAGAAAAAGCTTAACGTGCGAAGGGTGTTAAACCCATTAACGATGGGTGTCCCATATATGAGACCCGAAAAAATAAACATTGCCTGGCATCCTACCAGTGTGACACTGTATCGGGGCTCGCGCTCTGACGCAGGAGTGGGCCACGGCCAGCGGGCAGACAAACTCCGGAGAAGATCTGCCAGCCAATTTTGTAGCTGCCCGGAATCTTTCATTTTTGGCTTCAAAATATACCGGCGTGAATGGGTTAATGACCCTGATTTCAAACCTCTACATCATCGTCAATACATTGACAACACTTTTTTACTCTTTAAACACCCTTCGCACCTGGACTGCCTTTCATAATGAAATGTCTTTTCTGAAAAACTTCACAACAAATATGTACCCATTACATTTATTTGATAAAATTACCAAAACTTTTCTCCATCAGAAATTCACCAATGAACAGATTATCCCTACTGTTAAAAGAGACCATAAATATTTTTAAACTACCCTACTAGGGTGATTTAAGCTATGAAATCAGGAAACTGTTAAAAATACTCTTGAAAAATAACTACCCACAGATTAAGTTTATTTTTGTTTTCAGTAACAACAACACAATAGCTACGTTCTTAAAATATCCCGTAAAATACAGCTCTGACTTATGTTCAAATGTGGTATACTTATTTACCTGTCCTAGCTGCCAAGCTAGGTATGTGGGATCAACCTCACGTTGGCTGTTACCGCATCTCCGAGCATAAGGGTAAATTCTTCAGAACTGGCCTCCCACTGAGCAAACCTTCCTTCTCGGCAATAAGAGAACATTCAGAACAACACTCACACCCTTGTTCTACCACAAATTTCAGTATTTTGTCATCTCACTCTCCCCACCAAGATTTCATCACCTCAGAATCCCTCTTGATAAAGAAGATGCAACCAGAACTTAACAACATTACCACGGCAACCACCTTGTTTACCCAGTATCTACTCATCACCATAAACACCCTCTTTTTGGTTCATTTACCTTTCTTTCATACGTTTTTAAATGTTTTCTATATATTTGTACTGTTTTGCGTTTTGTATATATTTTTCGGTTTACATCACTTTTGTATTTCTGTTATTGTAAAGCCAGAACCTCTTCACATATTTACATTGTCTAATGACCCTTTTGTCTGGTTAATTTACAGCATTGACAATGAAGGTATGATCCTTCAAAACATTTGCTTTAACAATAAAGATGAGAATTTTCACTGCCATCTTCATCTACCTCTTCATTCTAAAAATTCGCCACCTTATTGGCAAACCCATTATGGAATATATATATATATATATATTATATATATATATATATATATATATATATATATATATATATATATATATATATATATATTATATATAATATAACAAGTTCAAGTTTTACCTTCTCTGTGTGAACAGTGGAATGGGGGAGACGATGACGGAGGTGATGGTCACAGGCTTGAAGTGGGGAATCACAGCCGGAGAAGCAACCAGATCTCGGACATATTCAAGGTATCTGAAAGTGTAGCAGTATTAAAGATCAGTGATAAAGGAAAAATGTAAATTTGTATAATTACAGCAAACTAATAATCAAATACAACTGATAAACAAACAAATATAAAAGTGTATATATAAAATACATAAATAAACATGTATGTACATATATAAATTAAAAAGTATATATGAAAATGAATAAAAAACATAAATAAAAACAATAAAAAATAAACAGAATATAAAATTAATTGATAACAATAAAAAGTAAATAATTGAATAAGGATAATAAACAGAACTAGAAAGCCCTAAAAGTTCACACTTCCTCTATGACACAAAAAAACTAATTTTGAAATCAACAAGTCAATCACGTTTTTTACAAGAAAGTTCATTTCCTAGCCAATCCATTTTCTTTGATAAATCAAACTGACAACGAATCCTTTCGCTTGCTCCTAGATCTGCATGGAGATCCAGTTCACAACCAAACACTAATCAACTGGTCCCTAGGCCATGTTCTGTAATAAATAAAATAATAAAGTGGACACACATCAAAGGATGCTTAGCCACAACCTACAGGTTCTTTAGGTCACTACCACCCATGTGCTAAGACAAGTTGGCATACTAATCACTTGAACCCCTGGACACTAGATTAGTACTTGGGATCCTTGCCCCATTCAGCCTTTGAGCATACATGACCAACTCATCCATGAATCTTCAGGACAATCTACAATTTCTTGTGCAATCCTTCTGACAAAGCAGTTAACCAACCAAAGATACTGCCATTTAATGAACTCCAGCAGAGGTAAAAATATGTAAATAATAAAAAAGTGTAATAAATAGATAACAATTACCAATATCTAAATAAAACATAAAAATAAAGGACTACTCAATAAATTTAGAGAAAAGAAACAATGAAACACACTACAGCCTCACACAATATGAAATCAGGTCACAGAAAGAGAAGTCTCTAAATGGTTACCTGAATTGTGAGGGCTGCAGACCTGGAGGACTTCTCTTGATGGCAAACATGTTCAATGCTTGTTCTGGTCTCTTAAATGCATGGCACACTAAGAGGAAGGAACAGACTAACATTGCAGTTGAAGCTTTCCCATCCTGGTTGGATTTAAAATATAAAAAAAAAAACAGATCAGTGCATTAGAATATAAAAATACTGGCATAAAGTGAGATGGCAAAACTTCTCTAGCTACATTAATGTTGCACATTTGGATAGCCCTTAATATGTGAAATTCTAGTCTTGCATTTTTTAGTAACCCTATTCTGAAATCAGTACACTTATAACAAAAAAGTTTCAAAAATTCACATATAGCAAACAAATCTATAGCCTTCAAATTCCTTTTACTTACCATGCAGTGTACAGCAACAATATTTTTGGGATCCTTTATTAAATAATCATAAATACTACAAGCGAGGTTGTAGAGCGCCCCAAGGGTTGATGACTTTTTGCCTGACCAGTTGCCCTCCACAACTCTTGCACTGAACTTGGTTGAGTGGTACTGTCGCCCGGAGACATTATAGATCACATAGTGGCCCATGTGACGCCCATCTAAAACAGCTGGGGTAAAACAGAAGGAAGAGCATTCAACAAAGGCAACATGTAAGTAGTCAAAAAGATGTTAAAGAAAACAGTTATTTGAATCAACAGGCAAAAGTAAAACAGCTAAATAGAAAAGAATAACAGTTAGAAAAACATACATAGTTAAAAAATTATTAAAGAAAACATATAAACAGCTACAGTTATAGTATTAATCTTTAAAACACACTACAAGTAGAATGGCAGACTTAATATCATCAACAGTTTACCTTTGACATCTTCAACATGATTTCTGTAGGCTGATTCCAGGCCTTCAGCTGGATACGACATTGCTATGACACGGGATGTTATATGTGACAAATCCAGGTCTGTTCTAGTGATAGATCTGCAGAAAGTGGAAAACAAATGAATATTACATGATTACATTAAAAGCTACTTTCAAAGTTATTCAATTCTTTTGATACTTTAACATAGCACTATATTTTAAAAAATATTTTCTGACTAAACTAAAACTAAAATAGGCAAAAAATATACATACTGGCTCACTGTCTGCATGACTTTGCTTGAGGTATCCTTGATGTTCTTAAATATACTTCCTGAATAGCCTTTAATAGATGAAAACAAGCCACCTCCACCTGCAGATGTCTGCTGCTGAGACTGGCCTACCACTCCTGTAAACATTCATAATAATCAAATGAGCATGCATCAAAACATTATATAAAGTATGGCCTAAAATATACATATAATTGATATTAGAATTCCATTATGTTCAGTAATGTGTAACTTGACTCTGAAAGCCTTTCTGAGAATGACTTTTATTATGAATTTAGTCTTTTCCCATGTAGGCATAGAAAGGTCCTCATCCTGACAGAGATCAATGTATCAAAATGAACTAGATTAAACGATACAAAATGCAGCAAACAAAAATAAAAAAAACAATATAATTTGCACAAGATACAGTCCCATCCCACCCTAAGTAAACAAAAATGAAAGTTTTATCAAGCCAATATAAGTCATCTACACTCTATTACAATGATGTTATTTCCCCACTTCTCATCTTCTGTCATTCTGGCAGAAACCAGCTGATCCATTTACATAGTTTGCACAAGATACTCCATCACAAAGTTTGTTTTCCATCTACAGTATGTTTGTTTTACATCTATAGTACACCTTGTTTTACTATCATAACATAACCTTGCCATTTTTTCACAATACTATACAATGTAAGCTACACTGCACATGCTAGCAAGTTATACAATACCACTGCAGCTGACTGTGGACCACAAGTGGACTGACTCAACTGCTTACAATGCTGTCAGTAAGAGCCTGCACATGGGAGTTGCCAACTATGCACATGCTTGCTAAACTGTATGCCAAAAACATCTGGCATGATAAACTGTTGTGCCAACACTTTTTTTCCTCATTATAGCATAAGCTGTGTTACAGCATTGCTCAAGGGGTATACTATTCAGACTTTGGAGCCAATGATCTGCTTCATTTGGCATGTGGAATCACATTGTATTAATTTCTCTTTAAAAGACATTTTAAACAATAACCACCTACTGGATATACTTTTAAAAGCTTTCAATTTCCCACCATAAAATCACTTTGTAAGTCAGTACCTGTGGGCCATGCTACTTTTGATTGACACTAGCTTTGGACAAGAACAAAACAACAACAACAACAAATAAATTCCAAACTGCCTACTACATAAATTAAACACATTACTTTTATCTGCTTCTGCAGCTTTAGCTGTTAATTGTAAATAATTTTTTTACAGATAACATGTTTATATGAAACAATTACAATTTTATATTTATATGAATAATTAATTAATCTTTTTATCTGATTTTTTTTAAAGGTCAATGACAATTTTACCTGATTATAAAAAAAAATAAAAAAAATAAAACATATCAGAAAAGTCAATAAAAAAAAAATTTATACATAGTTATGCCTGGCTGATATGAACTCTTTTCGAAAACTAGTAATTTACGGGAAGTGGATACCTACTGCACACCCTAATTGAAAGTTCTGATCCCACATCAGTGCAGCCATTTATTTATTCTTATCCATATGTAATGTCTCAATCTTTTAATATAGCTCTGTATATTAGTACAAAAACTAGAGAATATATCATCATAATTCATTATCAATGCCAAAAACGAGACAAAAAGAAAGAAAGAAAGGTTCATTCATACCATGTTGAGGATGAGACCCTGGAGGAGGTGGCCTCTGAGGCTGAGGGGGTCTTTGAGGTACAGGAGATCGTGGGGCTGGGGGTCTGGCAGGAGGTCGATCTGGTGCACCAGAGCGTCTCTCACCAAGTCTCCCATTACTCTCAGGTTGATGGACTGGAAAATACATGTTCAGATGACACTATGCTTAGACCTCTGTCCAATTTAAATTAAGTTTTTATTAGTATGGATGATAACATGCTGAATGTGGTATAAAAGCTACAAATTCAATTAAAAACATAATAGATACACAAATGCTATGGACACATTTCATTTTCCTTTTTTTCTTATATATACAGTTACTTTCATAAACTACAAAGACAACCATGGTTTTTAAAAAATAATTATGGAAATCTAACAAAAAATAATCATGAAAATCTAACAAAACAACTGATAATATTCAACATGAACAAGTCTGGAGGACAAAACTTCCTTCTCACAGGGTCTGTCATAGAAACAAACATAAATCAAAATCTTCCTAAAACTGGAAAACAAACTTCTATCTCTATCTTTTTCCTGGTTCTTTTACAAATTTGTTCACTATTGACTGACAAACTGCAAATATGAAAAACTATTTTGTCAATTCAAGATAAATGAAATCAAGAAACCTACAACAAAACATGGTCTACACTTCACATTTATAAATTTGCAAATGATTCAGTTCTGAAGGAAAAACACATTACTATAAATAACATAATTTAACTTCAAAAGAACTGCTATGCATATCAGGTACCTATACCCTTGCAAATCATAAAGAATAATCCATCAACAATTTCAAAACATCCAAGACGAATAAAACCCTTACCTGGGGTCGTTAAATCAATCTTCTTGCACTCAATCTGGATGGGAGCTTTCATACTAAATCCTTTGGTTTCTCCAATAGCTGCCAGTCTCTCCAAGATATCAGAAACCCTAAATCTTTCACTTGGGTCAACTTTCAGGGTACCTCTAATGAGCTCATGGAAACACTCATACTTGCCATCATTAGTGGGAATTGCATAATTTCCATTTATAATTCTGGAAAAAAAAGAAAATTGCTACATAATAAAAAAGTTATGAGATTAGGAAGGTTTATATGTCCGTTGATGATTAATCATAGAAAATACATTTCAATATATGATAAATACAATTGTATTGGGACTTTACATATTTTAACTCGCACATAAAACTTAAGAACAAAAATTAGTTAACATCTGCCAGTAGCACCTATACATACTTCAAACTAATCTATTTTTTCAGTAACTTTTAAATGGGTACTGTAAATATAACAGATAGCTCTGCAAATGGAATGGATTTTACATCAGACAACTTCTTTCTCTTTGGAGTGGGGCAGCTAGGATTTGCAAACTTATACCCTATTATTGTTCCCTTTAAGAGATGTCAAAGCTTTGTCTTTATTCTCATATACTTTTGAGTTAGACCAAAAATAAAAATGTTTGTTTTAATGATAAAGTGGGGCATTTTGTGTGTAAAATGATGGGTACATTTTCCTTTTTTTTAAGCCGTTGCCAGTTTGCTCCATTTACCTTCTAAATTCTCATTTTAGTATTTTGTGCAATAAAATTTCAATAAAAAGTGTATCCAAAAGTGTTTTTAGATCATATGCATAATAGTTTCCAGAACACTTTTTAGGATGCACATAAAAAAATAACAGTGTCATTGAAAGAAAAATAAAATCCTAATTATCCCTAAACCATTTGCATACTGTTCCTGAAAATATGGTAGCATTTCAACTTCTTTTTTTTTATTATGGTATTCATATATATATCATACTAGTATTCTGTAAAATACCAAAGTATGCAAAACTAAGTAAACTAAAAAATCCATAAATAATATTCATAACATCCATTCAGAGAAAAAATAATTACTTTTCAAGATAATTTAAAATAAACTTATTTGGGAGATGTCACTTCAACGGGAGCAAAACCACTCAAAATACTGACAGATATTCTTGAAGTCTAAAAACATTCAAATAAACAAATTACACCTAAACCTAAAATGCCTAGCACTTATGGATGCAGAGTGAGATGTAAATAAATTCTATGATTTTTTTTTTTTTTTTTTTTTTCACATATAAAATACAATGTAAAAAAAAAAAAAAATTAAAATGGCATCCATATATGCAGAAAACTAAACATCTCTGACCAAATATTTTCAAAATGAATTATTAAAGACTATAAAATAAAATAAAAATTCTGACAATAACTTAAAAATGTGATTTTCACAGGGCAACTTCTATGGGGGCAAAACCCCTGAAATATTAAAAAAGCCTTGTCCCTCTTACACTAGCACTCAATCTTTTTTCTTTAGTCCGAACTGAACAGGTTTCAAATAATGATCTCCATGATCTTCCTTAGGCTAAGGCAGAAAATATAATAGTTGATTTATACCAAATTCTTTTCCTAAGCAATTTCCTGTCAGAGTTATCAGCCACTTTATAAAACAGAAATTAAAATAACATCAAGAGCTAACTTAAAATATCTAAAACCAGCACTTATACATGAGTAAATCTTACAAACACATAATTTACCCTTTAGTATACAGAGTACAACCTATCTTACACATTCTGGAAAAATAGAAGATGCCCTATAAAAACCCTACATTCATTACCTTAACTTAGCAGAATCCTCAAAGGGATGTTTGAGGTAACAGAGATAGTACAAGATACATCCCAGGGCCCACACATCTGCCTGTCCATTGATAGGGTAATTACTCCATGTGTCTAGCATCTCTGGGGCACGGTACATTGGTGTTGTGTGCTGCGCCATCTGGAAACAGTCAAGGTTATCAATGGCAGAGATGTACAGTGACTTAAGAAGTGTAGAATAACACTACAATGGTAATTACATTTTAACCCATTAATGCTGGTATATTTTAAAGCCGAAAATAAAAGATTCCGGGCGCCCGCCAGCCCGCTGCTACATCGGAGCACAAGCCCCAATACAGCATCACACTGGCAGAACACCCAGCATTGTTTATTTTTTCGGGTGTCTCACATGTGGGACACCCGTCGTTAGTGGGTTAAACTAAATGACTTGATCCATAACATGCTTTCATTTCTATAAATATCTTTAATAATCAATTATGATTTAAAATCAAATCCACACATTTACCACTTGTCACAAAATAAGAGAATTAAGGCATGTTAAACGAGATTTACAGATGTTCTAAAATTATTACAAAAACAGGGTAACCAATTATTCATATCTTGGCCAACTTACCTCTTCTTCTAGTAATCCTCGTTGGTTTGCACTCCAGCCAAGGTCAACTTCGTATATTTTTGTCATCGCAGATCCAAAGTCGCATAATTTGATATGACCAGATTCACTTATGAGTAGGTTTTCTACTTTTAGATCACGGTGAGTTATGGGTGGATTTTGCGCCTGTCAAACAAAAAAGTTTGCCATTCATTAGGCAAGGCTTCCTATTAAAAACAATTACAGATGTTAGTGTACATTTTCACACAATGCAGTTATTTAATCTTTGCACTATAGAACTACAAAGAATACTTATAGCTCCATACTCAGCCTGCACTACAAACTCCAGAAATATGATAAAAATCAATTAGAAAAAATCTAATGTAGGCTTAAATACAATTATTTTTGTATAGTTATATGATAAGCCAACAAAATTATATGTAAGCAACATTCATGATACTCTTTAAAATGTCTTGATATTCAATATCACAATTTCCAAGCAATGCAGTACTTCACCAGCACTCATGTTAGAACATTCTTATGCATATGCTAAATACTGCCATAAGTACAGTGCCACCACAGTAAATTCCATGGCACACAACAAGAGCACATACTTGCATGTGCTGAACTGCTCTGGTGGTCTGGTACATGATGGTAGCAACCTGTGGGACCGACAGCTGTTTGCCATTCAGGAGGCGAAGAGCATCCACAAGAGATCCTCCTGTACAAGTTAAGAATGTGGAGGAAACACCATCAAAATCTTGTAAAAAACAAGGTATCTTCAAGGAAAGAATTCTTGTAAAATCTATCATTTACACCTCAAAAACTTTTCTTTCCATGAGAAAAAAACAAACTTACCTGTACATAGTTCACTCAGCAAAAGGAACTCATTGCGATTTTCTTTACTCTGGGTTTTATCAATGGCTGCAGCAGCAATAAAATCTACAATGTGCGGATGCCCCGAAAGTTGTTTTGATATTGTTATTTCTTGCCGAATTGCATCACAGGCAACCTGGTCTGCACCAAGCAGTCGCTGAGAAATATTTGAAAAATAAGAGATTAATAAAATATTCCCATCCTCAAATTTCAATTAAGACATTCATAAGATAAACAAGATTTCTAATCTATACAGTCCATTTTGAGATAATTAATTCTATGTGTATATCTTGGTGCTAATCAAAGCTCTATCCCCAAGTGGCTGAACTAGCTTACATTTCCTTTAAATCAGTACAAACATGTACTTAAATATACAAAGAGACATTTTCACACAACTAAAATATATCAAAATTCAAAAAGAGCATCATAATCCTACCTTCAAGGCATAGGTTTTGCCATTGCTGAGATCTTGTGCAACATACACAAACGCAAAACCACCTGTAAATAAAGACACAATTTGATTACAAGGCACATAGGTTATCCCTGTTTCTGATGCCTAAATTTTTATTTCTTATGATCTTCATTATGTGAATCTTTTGTCTAATGTCTAATGTATGGCTCTGAGCACATAAACATGAAACACCACATGAACCCTGGTACACATGTGGCAGGTCCTTTCTGGCAGCAGGAATGTAGGTAAGGATAGGGAGGTGATAGCTGGATTTTAGCAGAGTTGCCAAAATCACAGATGCAGGGAGAAAGAGAGTGGTAATAGTTACCATCACAGTATTGCCATCTTCATGTGGATGATATTGGCCTAATGCAGACTGGTAAGGAGTAGAGGAAATCTTGAAATACATAGGGAACCAAACATATAGGCTTTGCTTTAAGAAAGTCAAGAACGAGAAGTGATGGGCATGTTGGGAGGAATAGGGGCAAATACTGTCAGTGGTTTTGGACATGGTCTGCATAGAAGGCTTTTTTCTTTCTTTCTTTCTCAATTTCTATTTTGTAGGGCACTGTGATATCCAGATGCAGTCATCTGCATTATTACTGAAAGAATATTATATCCTACACATCTTTACTAAACTTCCAAAAACTTGAGCTTGTGTCTGTGTATGTTTGAGCTGCACACACAGAGATTAAACCCTTGAGGAGGATAGCCATAATGCCGTCTAAAACAGGTACACAATGAATAAGCATTGCACTAGTTATCAGTACCCTTGCAAGCCTTAAGTTCATTCTACCCCCTAGCATTTCCTCTGTATCAAATGGCTTCATATTTGCCTAATATCATTTACTTGTAGATGATAACACTGCTATAGTATCTACTATCATTTTCCTTTCCTGATCATCACTGATTTCACACATCTGTATCACTCAATCCAACTATCACCCTTTCTTTTCTCCACCTACAATTCCCTCACCCAATATGGATAGCTTATCCTGTAGCCAGAAATGACCAAGCACACATCATGATACCTTTATCAGTAGAAAAAAATAAACACCAAGTACTTTTCTCACACCCTTAAAATTGGATGGAATCATTCATAACATCAAATATCATCAAAATTGCCTTTATTTTCTGCACTGATTTTCATATAGCATTCATTTTCATTTTATAGACTATACCTTACAAGTACAAATACACTACACATATGTATCTGCAAAAGAAGGAAAGAATAATTTTCAAATAATACATAAAACTAATTTCTCCAGTAGAAGAAAAATGAATTTCAAAATGGTAGGAAATTATCACAGTTATTACATATCTAACCCAACCAGGCTGCACAATGATAAAAAGTTTGACATAATACGATTCAGTGTTACCCAGTGTAACATTATCAATCCCTTGAAGTACTGCCAACACATGGCCCAAAATAAGGGCATTAGCCTAACTTGAGTAGCCACTCTGACAGGTGTATGGCTTGTAGGCCAGATGCATACATACTTTGGTGCGAAGTGACAAGATTTCATGCCTTCACTTTTTCAATTTTCTCTTTTTCTGCATTAGTCTTTTTAGCTTTTTTGCTATTTTCCAGGGTTTATATTTGTCATTTGATTTTTACAGATGGCAATAGACTGCTTTCCTTGCAGAGACTTCATATCATCTTGCTAGGTATTCCATAACTCAGTGTAATAATAATAACAACAAGTAACATTATGTCATTTGTTTCACTTTTAATTATTTTGTAATATTCAATTTTCTTTAATACAATCTGCAGTGCCCATCACATCAGGAAATAGGATCCTAAGCAAGAAAATAGCATCCTACCTGGAGTCAGCGCACTTTCATTCATGGCTCACAAATAGTATATTCCACACTCATTTATCAATGGAAATACTGCAAAAGCCCCTTTCTAACTGCCAACTGAGTCTAATCATCTACAAGAGTTTTGTACACTCATGGCAAGTCATTCCTGTCCCTTGCCTTCAGCCAAAATTTTCCCATGATAGAATGGTAATGTCATCCACCTTTCACATGATGGTCACCTCATTTGGATTGTAGGGGTTGGATCCAGGTGCCTCACTACCTGTCTGCAACCCAAAATCTTGTCATTAGGCTTACTTGGGTGGCAACTCTCATGGGTATGTGGCTTGTAGGCTCAGCCCACATGCACACGTGTGTAGTATCAAGATTCCTTGCCTCCCCTTTGCAATGTTATTCTCTCTTTTTCTGCGTAAGTGATTTTTGCTTCTTTGCTATTTTCCAATGTCTATATTTGTCAATTGATATACTGTATGAAGATGGTAATAGAATTTTTTCCTTCCACAGACTCCATATCATCTCTCTAGGTAGTCTACAACTCTGTGCAATAACTATAACAATAAGTAAATAAATAATTTTACCTTTTAAAATTTTCTGTACCGCACTGTACCAACAATCACGGAAGGCAGGAATAGGATCCTAAGCATGGAAATTGTGCTTTCCCTGGGGCTGCCACTTTTCCAGCAATGGCTCGTGGATGGTACATTCTGCTCTCATTTACCAATGGAAATAATACAAGAACCCATTCCAAAATCTTTAACAAGTCAAATTTTCTCCAAGTGCTTTGTTGGAGTCGTTCCCATCACCCAGGCCTTCAGTCAGATTTTTCAGCGCATTCCCATTATCCAGATCCTCTGCCAAATTTTCCTATGAAAGCATATTCCTATCACCTACCTAACAGCCAATTATTTTCATTACATAATAGTCACGCCATCCAGATCCAGTGGGTTAGAAATCATTAATTTACATTCCCTATTAACATAAGAAATAAGAAATTGCAAACACAATTAATATATAATTTTACTAGTACATAAGCCTACACTTCACAATTATCTAAATGCTTAATCTATTCATGAATATGTAATAAAACTTTCTTACCTATTAAAAAAAATACAGCAGTCTTTTAGTACATAAAAACCATCACTTGCAAGATAAATAGTACATGAAATTGAGCAAGCAACAAAGACACTTCTACAATACTCCTAAAGTGAAAATAATAAATTTCTTTAACCCACTAACAATGGGTGTCCCACATATGAGACCCCCCAAAAAATAAACATTGCCAGGCGCCTCGCCAGTGTGATACTGTGTCAGGACTCGTGCTCTGACGCAGCAGCAGGCCATGGCCGGCGGGCGGGTAGAGTCCGGGGCAGCCCCACCCGCCAATTTTGTAGCCACCCAGAATCATTTATGTTCGGCTTCAAAATATACCGGCATTAATGGGTTTATATAAAAACAACAGCTAATCACATGTAGTGTTACATCTGCCAATCAAAATATATTTAAAAAAAAAAAAAAAATGCAGCCATATCACCCACTACTACTATAAGGTGGCTATGATGGATTTATCCTACTAACAATTATTCATATATCTCGGGATCAATATGCAGAAACCTCTCTATACTTTAAAAACTGCAGTGTAGCGGGTAAATGTGGTGTTAATGCTTAGTGGTTACAGCAAATTAAAGTGCTTGACAGAGAAGAAAGAGAAAAGGGGGAGAAGAAAAGATTGCAAAATTGGTTGAGCCAAGTACTGAGGCCCAAGGTAGGGGTGACCCCCAACAATGGGTCTCAGTCCCCATACCCTATGCCCCCTCACAAGAACAACAGGCATGGGATGGGTGTGTACGTGTGTTGGGGGGGGGGGGTAATGCATGTCATTCATCTTCTTTCATAGTTTACCCCATAATTTTGATATTATACTTCATATCCTTCCCAAGAATCAGGCACAGTCGCTGGGCTACAGGAGGGTATCCATACATTAATTCATAAATATATAAATACTACAGGCTAATCCTGTGTTCTAACTAGTTGGACAAGATGTTTTGACGGCTCAGAACCCCTACTTTGGCATCCTGGATAAGGTAGCATTTGTATGTAAACAATCACAGTTGCAGGCAACCATGAGGTATCAATAAGTCATTTTATGGTACTTCACTGGTGGTATCAAAAGGTACTTTTGTGTTTGTCAGTTGCAGGTAAGTTACATATGCATCAAAGGAGTTACAAAACTTATGCAACTTATAAAATTAAGACACTCGTATACAATTGTGAATGTCTACTTTTGAGCTGTTTGCATTGTTAGCAATGAAGGCCTTGGAGGTTCCGAATGCAGCCTCGGTGTACTGCTGGTCCTGACAAGTTGTCTGGACAAGCAAGACAAGGAGTTCCAAACACAGCATAATTGCAATCCAATGTTGCTTAAACTATTGTATTTGGTAATACAACTATATTCTGCATATATACCAAATCTTTTTTTCACCCAATCTATGTGCTCCAAAATGCTCTAATCATCATAACATATCCACACTGGCATAGATGCTATGCATCACAAGGGAAACTTTCCCTTTATAAATGAACAAGATTTTGCTGTGGTCTGTGGTGTATGACATAGCACAGGAAGTCTCTCATGATAGTGGCATTGTATCAAATGATTACTGCACCATCCATACTATATACGTCACTAAAAGACAAACCTCCTTCATATATAATTTGACTGGTTATTTAGTTGATAGTAAACCAGTTTCATTTTGTAAGAACAGACATAATAGATGATTGTTGACATTTGCTGAAATGCCAAATGGCAAAGGCTCCACAAAAAGTGCCATGAAGTCAGTGGCAGTTGTGCAAGTGTCTTCAGCAGATCTATGCAATCAACCTATTTTAAAAATATAATAACTAATAACTGTCCTGAATTGAACTGCACAAGATGACACTACGGCCTCTGTCCATGGCACTAAAACAAAGGCCAACAAGCTTCCCTCTTATGTAACTGGAGAGATAACAGCTTGAACCGTATTTGATTATAAATTGGCGAGACGAATAAGCACTATTTTGCCAAAACATAAAGTGCACATACTACAGCATCACTGCACTTTGTCACATAAGTATAGATCGCTAGACATTGTCAAATTATTGAGTCCTCCTTTTCACTTTCTACATATTATATAATTCATAACTAATAGTGTTGTTTTCCGTTTGAATCTTACTAACATGCTTTGAACAATCACACTGTAATGCTGCAGATTCCAAATATTACTAATGAAATCGTAAACCATCCTAGTGCTTTATCATCAAATATGAACCAATTCAAAGTCTAAAGAAACCAAAAGAAATACGAGTCAGTTGGCCTTTACTATGGTGCCAAAGTCCTAGAGGCCAAAGCAAAACACTTAACCTTATCACTAATGAGAATGTTATTCATAATATCAAATAACTTCTTTGTTTGCAATTTCCAATGGAAATATGGGGTTTGGCCGGTCCTACACTATAATTTCTATATATTTGAAAACTAGACGGTGAAAGGAATCCGATACCAAAATCATCATGATCCATTATGCAGACATATTAGAAAAAAATTACATAATATACATATATATATATATATATATATATATATATATATATATATAATATATACATATAAATATACTGAAACCACAACAAACTACAAATGTAATTCAGCAATTAGTCACATATCTGAGAGCAGTGGCTGTGTCTTTTCCTAAACCTTACTACTGGATAACTATATTTCGCAACAGAATAGCAACAAAGAGGAAGAAATGTAGAATTTAAATTTGGAAATAAAACCCACAGAAGCGTACTTCCCTTTAACCTTCAAAAGTACCTTGACTCAGATATCTTAACTTCCCTCTTTTTAAACACTAGTACTAAGGCTAGTAACACAAAATTACACTTTCAAAATACCGAGAGAAAAAGGCATACATTCCTGGAGAAATCATGCGACAAACATTTTAAAAGTCATATTCAAATAAATGATCTCCCTTTCAATATGATTGGGAGAACTTGCTCACCTTCAGCTATTTGTTTCTTTATTCTGAGCTTAATGCCGTTGATTTCGACCTCCTGACCCACGAAGTCGTTGTCGGAAGTGGTGCCATTGGACCCTAAATACCCGAAGGCACTCTTAAAGAGGTCAGCCATCCCGTAATCAAGAGGAAATTAAGAGGAAAGAGCTGAGTCTGGGATTCGCTTCTTCATGACAGATCGCTTACAGCTGAGAGCCGCCATAGACGACATGATACGCCCGCCCCCACAAACAAAAGCGAAGCGGATCTGGATTTTGTGGTTTCCATTTTTTAGCGAGTGAGGTTCGATTACCTATAGATGGAGGGAGTATTTGGGATTGTAGGATATCCGATCCTTTTATATTTTGATGGTTTTCGTCTCGATATATGCAATATTGACAAGTCGAGTTTTTTTGTTTATTTTATACTACCTATTGTTTGTCTTGCATCATAGTAGTTG